TGTCTCTCACATTCAGTGCTTTGGTCTCGCCCTGGACCCTCGCATGGCTCAGAGTACCTAGCCAACTGCTCTGCACCCTGGCGCAAGGTTTAATGTGTCGCGGCGGAGCGCCCGGACGCTGACGTTTCAACCTCAAACCTTCTTGCTCCGTGAACTGTGGCCTCTCGCTCTGGCGAAGGGTGGGCGGGGGAAAAGAGGGCAACCCCCCCAACCCTGCCTAGCCACTAGCCTCTGCGTAAAAAACAAAAACAGCACAACTCTTAGCAGTGGATCACTCGTCTACTAATGTGAATTGCAGGACACATTGATCATTGATATTTCGAACGCACCTTGCGCCCCACGTTCCTCCTGGGGCTACGTCTGTCTGAGGGTCGCTTTGCCATCAATCAGAACCTCCGGGTTTCCAGGGCAGTCGCAGGACGCCTCCGTGCAGCCTTCGTCCCCCTAAGTGCAGACCAGGACAGCTCATTGGAAGGGTGAGAGGCGGCCTCGGCTCTCTCTTCACTCCCCCGTGCATCCTTCCTTTCCCTTCCAGGAGGCGCACCCGTTCCCCGCATTTCCTCCGTCGGTGGTGAGCCGCGACTGGCTCTGGGTCGGCTTGGAAGGGCAAGGGCGAAGGTGGCCATCGGTTTCGGCCATGAGCTTTAAAGCGCCCCTGCTCCGTACTCGCCGCTTCCCGGGCACGAGGATTTAGTACCCACTGTGTCATGTCCCCCTGCCCGACTGTCCTCAGTGTGTAACCGACCGCGTTGCATCGCCAGGGTGGCGATCAGCTCACGTAAACTGGCGCCAGGGGTCAGCGACGATGTCGGCAACCCACCCGACCAGTCTTAAAATACGGACCAAGGAGTCTAACGTGCGCGCAAGTCTGAGGATTTTCTCAGAACACACCCTGTGGCGCAATGAAAGTAAAGGTTGGTGCACACCGGCTGAGGTGGTGGATGGTGAACTATGCCTGGGCAGGGCAAAGCCAGAGGAACCTATGGTGGAGGTCCGTAGTGGTCCTTGAAAAAAAAAAAAGAGCCAGAATCTCAATTGGTGGTAATGAAATGGAACAAGTCACATCCACTGAGTTCTAATTGATGAAAAGTTATCCTGGAAAGATCATATTCAATTTGTCTGCAGCAAAGTGATGTAATCTGTTGAACCACAGCCATGTGTTACATCACGTTGACACCCCAAGCACCATATCAACTGAGGTCATCATGACAACTGAGGAGATCATCTCCAACTACAATGACGTGTTCGATGGGTTTGGCTGCCTTCCTGGAGAGCTACAACTACAAGCAGACAACGTAGCCCAGCCTGTGCAGCAGCTACCAAGACGGATACCTATTCTACTGAAGTAAAGGATCACAAAGGCCATACATTCAATGGACAATGCAGACATCACAAAAATCATAGGGCCAACACTGTGGATCAGCAACATGGTTGTCATTGAAATACCTGACAAACTACAAATATGCATGGACCCCAGTGCACTCAACAAAGCCTTACTGAGATCGCACTTCCAGATGCCCACCTAGAATAGATTCTACTAGAGATATCCAACGCAAAAGGTATTCTCAGTATTCGATGCCAAAGATGGATATTGGCAAGTCAAACTTGATGAAGCGAGCAGCTATCTAACAACTTTGGGTACACCTGTAGGCAGGTATAGATGCAGCTGAATACCAGCGCAGACAGTGTTTTATGCACTACAGGGACTAAAAGGAGTGGGTGTGATCGCAGATTACATTCTACTCTATGGATGTGGCGACACAAACGAAGAGGCGATGGCAGATCATGACAGAAACCTCACAGATCTCCCGCAGAGAGCAAGAGATGTCAACCTGAAGTTGAACAAAAATAAACTTGGGTTAAAGCTACCTAGTATGATGTACATGGGCCATCTTCTCACCCGAGGGCCTTCGCCTTGACCCAGAGAAAATAACATCCGTTCAGAACATGGGGACACCAACCAACGTCAAGTCACTACAGCGGCTGTTGGGGTTTGTGAACAATCTTGCAAAATTCATGCCCCGACTATCTGATGTGTGAGCTGCTTAGAAGGCTGACTGACAAGGCCATTGAATAGACACAGCAATTGAGACTATCAAACAGTTGGTCACACGACACTGAGTGCTCAAATACTACGACCTGAATGATGAAGTCACACAGCAGTGTGACAAGCTTGGGCGCAGCCCTTCTACAGAAAGGACAACCTGTTGCATTTGCCTCCAGAACATTGACTCAGACAGAACAGAAATATGCACATATTGAGAAAGAATGTCTCGCCATTGTTTTTGCATGTGACAACTGACAAGTTTGACCAGTATTTGCATGGCAGAGAGTTCATAACAATACACAGCGACCACAAACCGCTCAAGACGATCTTCAAGAAATCTCTACTCACAGCACCCAAGCGACTGCAGAGAATGTTGCTAAGGCTACAAAGATACCAACATCAAGTGCAATACAAACAAGGCGAATAACTACATGTAGCTGACTTCCTGTCCAGAACTGCTCAATCAACCACAAAGCACAGACAAATGCAAACACCAGCCATGGTCTACGCTATGGGCCTAGCCACAACTGACCTGGAACAGCTGGATCACACCAGTGACGTCAAAATCTCAACTAAGACACTGGAGTCAAATCAAAGCACACTCATCCCAGGACCTACAGTTTCAGGCTCTGCACACTCAAATCAACAAAGGCTGGCCTGGAACCAAACAGGCACACACCGAAAGATTTCTGGACATACAAAGAGGAGCTCACCACAGAAATTGGACTGATATTCATAGGAAACAGGATCTTCATCCCTGACATGTTACACAATTACTTTCTACCTAAAATCCACTCTGAAAATGGCCAAAACGCTCAGAAAAAACAGCTGTGATTGATGGTGAAGACCCATGGAAGCAGTGCTGGCACGGCGGAACACTCCAACAGAGGGACTCAAAAGTTATCCTGTACAGCGGCTCATGTCCAGGAGCACAGGAAAACCACTCAAACCTCAAGTGGTTCAAAATGTCATAGCAAGAAATCAAACCTAAGGGCTGACAGCAAAACACCACTATGACACACATGCCATGACATGCCCAACATAATCCAAGCACAAACAGTGAGGGTCCTTCTTCACCCCAACAACTCAGCCAGCACTTGGACGCTGGGCATATGCACTGATCAACTCAATGACTAGTCGTATGAAGTACTAGTGAATGGTTAAAAATATAGCAGAAACAGAAAATACATTCATCCCCACGATCGACCACCAAACAAACATGGATGAGGATGACTGGGGATCATGGAAAGAACCCACCACCCCAGCGGGTGGTGAACAACAGGCTGCTGCCATGGAAGCAGCCCCACTGCCTGAAAATCTAAGACACACCTGTGAGATACTCCAGAGACTGTATCATTTAAAAGGTCATACAAAAAAATTAGAGGGAAGCAGATTGGAGTAGTCTGCTTATGGACTTTATACACTGGTCAAAAAAATAAAGGGAACACTTAAACAACACAATGTAACTCCAAGTCAATCACACTTCTGTGAAATCAAACTGTCCACTTAGGAAGCAACACTGATTGACAATAAATGTCACATGCTGTTGTGCAAATGGAATAGACAGCAGGTGGAAATTATAGGCAATTAGCAAGACACCCCCAGTAAAGGACTGGTTTTGCAGGTGGTGACCACAGACCACTTCTCAGTTCCTATGCTTCCTGGCTGATGTTTTGGTCACTTTTGAATGCTGGCGGTGCTTTCACTCTAGTGGTAGCATGAGACGGAGTCTACAAAGTGTCTGCTGGGCCTGCGGGATGAGCAGCTGGGCCTGGCCAGGCAGGAGGCTGCATGGAGGGCCCTGCATGGGGATGCACTGCAGGCAGAGGGACACAAGATGTCTGTCCGGCTTCAGGCACAAGCAACCAAGGCCAAAGACACCATTGAGGAGAAGAGGATGCTACGTGAGAAACTGAATAAAAGTGTTGAAAGAAGCACAGGAAGCCATGAGGGAGAATGAGACTAACATTGGATATCGAGAGGCTTGGAAAGCAGCTGACAATTACGGTACAGAGGCAGGAGGAGGCCTCTCGGTTGGAGCATGATATAGCTCTACAGAGAGACCTGGAGGAGACCAACGCTTAGCTGAAGGAGCCATACATGCAGCCGCATCGCCTTGGAATTCCTGCGCAGGCACATCAATTACCTATTACAGGGCACAACACAAGATTGCACACATTTAGCAGAGTTGAAAGACACTAACAAACTCACAAAAACATACTGCAAAAATGTTGTTTGTAGGGCAGGCCTTTGGTCCAACTACCCTCTCCAATGACATGGTGGAAATACTGTATGATGGATTGTCCTTATTGTAATAAAAACTCAAAGTGGTGTCTTAAATTTTTTTATATGTTTCCACAATTTCACCTTTTAAAATAAAGCTATGTACACATTTAATCTTCTCCCACAGTAAATAAAGAAAATAATCAGATACACAAAGCCTATGGGAAAATAGGAAGGCAACAGAGTGAAAGTAAAGCAAACATTTTACAGTTCAAATGCAAAATTCTGAATCACCCAACAATTATTTAGCCTTGAGAAATCTTGAGAATGTTATAATATTGCCATTGAGTTATTATACTAGCAAAGTAACCAGAGGTCTTAAAATGATCTGAAACGTTTTGCTTTATATTTGATTTCCTCTAAGACATTATTCAGTTTAAAGTTGAGATCAAACACTTTGTTTAATGTTTAGTGTACCACAAAACAGGTGATCTGGAATTCAAATAACTAATAGTATGTGGGCTGATTATAGTGACCCAGATTAAGCCTATAGTACTGCTGCATTAAATTGCACTTTTGGGAAAAAAGTCCTGGAATACCATCTCTAGTCCAGAAGTATATTCAAGGTTTATCTAGATTCATGAAATCACATTTGCAGTTAATCATTTACTAAGTAAAATTAATTTGATCTGGGCCAGTGAAGTTGGCGTTGTTTGGGACTTGCATTATTTTCTCCCTCAAATTACCTTTGGTTAAGAAAATTGAGAGGTCTATACCTCCACATAGATGGTCTTCACAATCAAATAAAAATTCTGAAAGTAAGGAAACATTCATACTTTTGTGGGGCCAATCCTGTAATTCATTATGAATTGACATGAGGCACCCAACAAATACATTTAGTTGAAAAGTCTTTCCCCTAAGAGAAAACCAGGTCCCACTCCCTGCTTAAATTCAAACAAAAACATTGATTTATTTAGCATTCATAATACAAACCACTGCTGTTTATCCAAAATATCAAATAAAATATATTGTCAAGGAAAATAGAGAACACAGCACTTATGAACTCAAAACCCCATGAGGTATATACTAGAATTGTGCAAACAGACACCATATATTTATGTAATCTGTTATTATGCAATTTAAGTGACACCAGGTAAGGCAAACATTATGTTATTTCATGATAATCCTATTTTTTTGTTCATCTGGACAACATACAATGTAATTATTGATAGAGGTATTGATAGGTCCTAACCATGAGTCAAACCCCCCATTGAGAGAATGTGACCAATTAGGTGCATTGGATTCAACATAAATCATCCCAATTGGCTCATTCAAGTTTGACAATGCAGGTCATTATGTGGATCATTTAATGTGTTTAAAGGCCTCTGCAATGGCTTCCTGACCAGTGTGTCTGACTGCGTGAGAGTGAGGCCTGAAATACAACATGCAGCTCATGGAAGCCCATGCTTACTAGCATTTTAGGAGTATCAGAACTCTGGCAGATTCTGCTGCTCTGAAACATTATAGTGTTACTTTTGTGTTGTATTATTCTTGTCCGATAAGATACTATGTGTTAGTAACATTGTTGGGAGGATACATCTTATCAGATGTCTGCAAAGCAATATTATTATTATTAAGTGATCATTTCTAAAAGAAAAAACACCTTCCCATCTTACACCAGTTCCTAACTGCATATGAAAACTAGCGAGCATCCGGGCGGAGAAAAAGAGAGCGCTAGCATTGGGATCAATCAGAGTAAAGAATGGATGGCTGCCTACAGTCACCCTGCAGCGTTATCTGACACTGTCTATTTTAGTCCACTAGCCTGGCCCATACCTCACAAATCTCATTGATTCATGTTTTCATATTTTTTGTTACTGTAATCTCTGATGGATCCTATTAGGACAACTGACGCAACTAAAGATTACAATTACCTACTTCGATCAAAGTGTCTATACCAAGCAAAGAATAATACCACTAAGGTCATCCATATAGTAAAAGTCCCGGATCAACGAAAGAGCTCTTAAATAAAGCAATAAACCAAGATATTATGGAATTAGTTAAGTGTGGTGTCAGAATCAAGACAGTTACAAAATAAATGTTAACTACCCCAGCAAAATAATATATTTATTTAAAAATTCTAGTTCCTAAAATATCATATAGGATATCGGTCTTTAAAAGCTTGCAAATCCATTTTACATTTCCTGTAAGGTTTGGGGAGTCTTTGCCTGTTGTCGGAGAGTGTATTCTGTTTTATGTTGACCATGTATTCTAATTTCCCAGGGATTGCTCAGGTGTGCTGCTGTGCTTATTAAAAGAGAATAATGGTGTGTTTAAGGTCCAATATAACATCATCTGACTAAGTGCATTGATTCATACCAATTGGCTGAAATTGCTCTATGGTTTAAATAACTGTTCTTGGGTCACTTGTTGGGTGCGCCTTAAAAATCACCTCCGTTCCCACATGAGCATTAGAAACTTAAAAAGGGATGAGGAGGGAGTTTGTACAATATATTTTGCCTATGTTTGAAGTTAAGAGAAGGGAAGAGTAATGGATTCTAGTCAAGCATGCCTCTCTCGCTCTCACCATCATTCTCACTCTCGCCCTCTGAACTGGCGTCCCCCTGCCTGTCCCCTCATGCCTCCTCTGGTGGCGGGGGCCTCTTCAGGTCGCGGATCTGCTTGATTAGGTAGTTCTTCTCGTCGCAGAACTGCTCGTCCTCGGAGCGATCTGTCTGGAAGTGGCTCAGGAAGTCCACCAGCTTGGTCTGGTTCTTCAGCAGGATGTCCAGCACAGGCTGAGTCTTGTTGGGGTTGGCCACAAACACCTAGGACGAGACCGGACAGAACAGTGTTTGAATTGAATAGCGCTACAGCGTGACAGTGCCATAGCCTGACATATATTCTAGTTGGTTAACTGGTAAATGTATACCTTAGTATATGTTAATGGAATAATGTATTTAAAATAATATAACAGTATGAAGTTATTACTACGTTTTAAAGGCAGCATGAATATTTCTGCATCCTCTATGAAGACTGAGAACGGTAGATTAGGGGATGGAAATGTGAACAACATGCATTTTAGGTCAAGTAACCAAAACAGTGGAAAGTAGGACAAGCAGAGACCAGAATCTGTACCCTTGGCCTCTCCATTAATAAAACATTTCTACACACCTTGAAGACATGGAAGGCCTCAAACTGGATGTTGCGGCTGTTGTCTCGCAGCATGTTCATCATCAGCTTCAAGTTCTCGGCACGACTGATGTACTTGGTCATCACAGTGAAGTTATGTCTGTCCAGAAGAAGCTCTCCCAGGAGCTGCAAAACAGTTTGGTTAGTAATATAAAAGGAGGGTCATCATTGCTTTTAGGATAAGTTAGGAAGATATTTCAGTTACAGAAGAAAGTCACGTGAGAGGTCAAAACTTAAAACGGACAAAGTGATACCATGAAGCATCAAACAGGTGAGATAGAGTACCTTCAGGGACTGCCGTTTGGTGACATAATTCTCAGAATGCAGGAGCTTCTCATATTCTGTAAACACCCTGTCATAATTGGTCTCCAGAAAATCTGCGCACATAATCTTATGTCTCGTGAGAAGATCCTAGCAACACATTTGAGAGAAAATAACAGGATATTAGATAACATAGAAAAAACAGATCATACTAAGCACACTAGTGCTAACGTCCTGTCCAGGGGATGTACTTGTACATCAAGCTGCCTCACGATCCAAGAGGTTGGTCATAGGGCAGGAACCGTTCTGGCTCGGACAAGGCTTACTTTATAGGACATAAAGAAGTGAGAAAAGCAGCAGTGTACCTTGAATGAAGCGAAAGCGTCTGAGGCGATGTCGAAGGTGGAGAGCTCTACATAGCGGAAGAAGCAGTAGAAGTCCTCCGAGAAGAGAACGCTGCGTGCCAGGGGCTCATGACGCAGGCACTCCCTTAGCATCATCCCACAATTCAGAGCCACCTCCGCACTCTCGTACCTGCAAAGGTGGGATTCATGTCAGTAGTGCTCAACACTACTACGTAGGTGTGTTTTGTTGGTGATTATTACATCTGTTGCGATTGTATGCACGTGGGTCTGCAAATAGGGATGTGGCGGTCATGACATTTTGTCAGCCGGTTATTGTCATGCAAATGTCTGCCGGTCTCACGGTAATTGACCGTTAATTAACAAACACGTTTAGCATCTCCAGGCCTCCAAGCCGCATATGCGCGCCTTTGGAACATCGACATTTTTTAAAAAGTCTAATAAATCGATTTAATATACACCATCACAATAAATCCATTATTTATTTTAGGCAGGTATAAAGAAACATTATGATATGAAGAAAATGTATTTCAGAAGAACAGAATGAGTTGGCCTACTGTATGTTATCTGGCTATGCGCCATTCAATAGGCTAGTTCATTTAGCAGACAATATTTGCTAATAAGTGCCATTTTTTTTATATTAAGAAGAATAATTGAATTTAGCTGAATAAAATAGAAAGGATATTTTTCCCATTCCGGCTATGTTGAAGAGGCTATGTTGAGCGTAAAAGTGATAATTTGAAGTCCTATTCACTAGATTTAGAGTTATTTGGCAACTTTAGTTGTGAATGATACAAACCTTAGAATGTCTTTGAAATCAAAACAAATATGGGCTGCATGCTGCGACTATAGGCTATTGATGATTTGAGAAAGTCGCAAAAAAAAAAGAAGCTTGCACTCTGTTCGTTTTTCCAATCATGCCGGGTAGTCTACTCCAGTTTTACCGCAGAGCATGTGCTTAATATGAGCAGCTGAGAAATAAATATAGTAGCAGCTGGGACCCTCCTCTTTGTTGTGGCAGCCATCAAAACTCTGCTTTCACAGGATTGCATATAGAAATGTCTGGGCTTATAAGAACACTTATTTCACTCCACACAACAACCACTGTTTGAGGAGCATGCAGCCTCTCACTGCACGACAGGTGAAACGCTGTATGCCATGGGCTCTCCAAACCTGTTCCTGCAGCTCCCCAGTGCTTAATTTGGAAAACCAAGTGAAATTTGTTCAGGAACATCGATAGTAATAAGTCTTCAAACAAAACATATTTCATTAAAAAAAAATTGATAGCCCTTCTCTCTGCGCACTTGAGAAAGGCATAAAGGAGAGAGAGGAAACGCACAGTGGTGAGATATTCTGTAGGTAAAAGGTAATGTGTAAGCCTATTCATTATGAAAATTTTAAAAATTGCCCTATTCCTAGGCTATTCAAAATCTAATTCACTATAAATTGTCCACTAACTCTGTAAGGCGCTCTCCACAATCAATGAACCAATAGCATTGCCTAGGCCTATACGTTCTCTCCCAAACTCATGGATAGAAAGTTTGGTAAGGTAATCAGTCCATCCAGTATGCATAACAGTCCACACGCAAAGGCGATTGCTAGAATTTGTTACATTTGAGTATAGGCTAGACCAATTATGTACCAAAGAAATCTTAAATCTTTATCCTTTATGTTTTTCTGCCGTGCGTAATATACGGCATGCTATTAGGCTATATATTGTATAACAGCACAATCATTATTTTTATTCTGTTTTTATAAAAAAAATTAGCTTGGGCTTTTACAGTGGGGGAAAAATGTATTTAGTCAGCCACCAATTGTGCAAGTTCTCCCACTTAAAAAGATGAGAGAGGCCTGTAATTTTCATCATAGGTACACGTCAACTATGACAGACAAAATGAGAAAAAAATAATCCAGAAAATCACATTGTAGGATTTTTAATGAATTTATTTGCAAATTATGGTGGAAAATAAGTATTTGGTCACCTACAAACAAGCAAGATTTCTGGCTCTCACAGACCTGTAACTTCTTCTTTAAGAAGCTCCTCTGTCCTCCACTCGTTACCTGTATTAATGGCACCTGTTTGAGCTTGTTATCAGTATAAAAGACACCTGTCCACAACCTCAAACAGTCACACTCCAAACTCCACTATGGCCAAGACCAAAGAGCTGTCAAAGGACACCAGAAACAAAATTGTAGACCTGCACCAGGCTGGGAAGACTGAATCTGCAATAGGTAAGCAGCTTGGTTTGAAGAAATCAACTGTGGGAGCAATTATTAGGAAATGGAAGACATACAAGACCACTGATAATCTCCCTCGATCTGGGGCTCCACGCAAGATCTCACCCCGTGGGGTCAAAATGATCACAAGAACGGTGAGCAAAAATCCCAGAACCACACGGGGGGACCTAGTGAATGACCTGCAGAGAGCTGGGACCAAAGTAACAAAGCCTACCATCAGTAACACACTACGCCGACATGGACTCAAATCCTGCAGTGCCAGACGTGTCCCCCTGCTTAAGCCAGTACATGTCCAGGCCCGTCTGAAGTTTGCTAGAGTTCATTTGGATGATCCAGAAGAGGATTGGGAGAATGTCATATGGTCAGATGAAACCAAAATATAACTTTTTGGTAAAAACTCAATTTGTCGTGTTTGGAGGACAAAGAATGCTGAGTTGCATCCAAAGAACACCATAACTACTGTGAAGCATGGGGATGGAAACATCATGCTTTGGGGCTGTTTTTCTGTAAAGGGACCAGGACGACTGATCCGTGTAAAGGAAAGAATGAATGGGGCCATGTATCGTGAGATTTTGAGTGAAAACCTCCTTCCATCAGCAAGGGCATTGAAGATGAAACGTGGCTGCGTATTTCAGCATGACAATGATCCCAAACACACCGCCCGGGCAACGAAGGAGTGGCTTCGTAAGAAGCATTTCAAGGTCCTGGAGTGGCCTAGCCAGTCTCCAGATCTCAACCCCATAGAAAATCTTTGGAGGGAGTTGAAAGTCTGTGTTGCCCAGCGACAGCCCCAAAACATCACTGCTCTAGAGGAGATCTGCATGGAGGAATGGGCCAAAATACCAGCAACAGTGTGTGAAAACCTTGTGAAGACTTACAGAAAACGTTTGACCTGTGTCATTGCCAACAAAGGGTATATAACAAAGTATTGAGAAACTTTTGTTATTGACCAAATACTTATTTTCCACCATAATTTGCAAATAAATTCATAAAAAATCCTACAATGTGATTTTCTGGATTTCTTTTTCTCATTTTGTCTGTCATAGTTGACGTGTACCTATGATGAAAATTACAGGCCTCTCATCTTTTTAAGTGGGAGAACTTGCACAATTGGTGGCTGACTAAATACTTTTTCCCCCCACTGTATATAGGCCTATGCGTATGCATAAGCTCTAATAACACTAGCGTTTTGAATTAATCATCACCTTAGAAAGCGCTGTCCATTTTGTTGTGTAAAAATGTGAAACAACATCCACAACGACCATGTTTTCCACTCAGTTTCAACCGGTTGTTGAACTTCTTTCTTCAAATTGATCGATCACAGTGAGGTGAGGTGAGTTTTAAAAGCATGATACTGTTTTGGTAAGTGTTTGATGTTATTTTCGATTGTATTTGCATTGATGTCAGAGTCGTTAGAGGGACAATAAAGCGCAGAGTACCAGGCCATTAGCGACCTGATGGTCGTTAGCGAGATCGGTACTACCAACGCATGTCCAGAGTGCATAAGAGGAGATTACCGTGACTCAACGGTCACGTGGAATTTTACTGGGGTCATGACTCATGACTGCCGGTGTGGCAGTAATACGGTCACCGCAACAGCCCTATCTGTAAATGAACAAACAGGGGAGTTAAATGCCTAAAAAGTCACTTAAATGGGGACAAAACCTAAATAAAATAGATAAATCCATGCCTCTTGCTTATCTGGTCTACTGATCTAACAGATGGCAGATGGGCAGCTTTGAGACTCACCCTTTCAGCAGCATGAAGAGGATCTGTGGGTGTGAGGAGATATACTCAACCGTGGGCGTACGGGTGCCAATCTGACGCCGTACAATGTTGCTGAACAGCTGGACCACATCCTTCTTTCCCTGGTGGTCAATGATGAGAAACATTCCAATTAATGAAGAATAGGACGGTGCACAACTTAAAAAAAATACTGAGATAAAAGGAATGAGAGGCCCACATAGAATACTGTCGCTCTCCAGTGCTTTATTCCTGCACTCTGCATTTGGGTGCAGGAATAAAGCACTGGGGAGCAGAAATATTCTGTGTGCGGACCTCTCAAACATTTCAATCAAACAGTGGGAATGAGTGCTGATGTGTCACATTGTGTCTTTATGCTCCTCCCTCTTCTGTATTGATTCATACATCCACTATGGACTACAGTAGTATAAATAATACATTTCCCCCCCACACAAAGCTAAATGGGTAGAACATTTCCCCACCTCAAAATCAATCCTCTGCAGGTTTGCAATGAGAGCAATAAGGAGGTTGGTGTTGTACAGCTCCTGGGCCAGTTGGGCCACAGCCTCCGTTTGGGGCTCCTTGTCTCCTGTACCACACAGCACCTCTTTCAGCGATGACAGGTTCTTAGACACCTCTTCTGCAACCTGGAGACAAGAAGATATGAGGGAACAACACTTAGTTAAATCAGGGGCTGCATCTGAAATGGCACCCTATAATATAGTGCATTACTTTTAACCAAAACCCATATAGGGCTCTGGTCAAAAGTAGGGCACTATATAGGGATTAGGGTGCCATTTCGGACGCTTCCAATGACTCTCACGGCATTGCTATATGAAGCTGCTGTCTGGATGCTCAAATGTTAGAGACCAACTTTAACTAACAAATGCGAACAGACAATTTCTAGTGTGCTCTCAAAACAGCAGTCCATAGGTATCACCTGACCTTTTCACATTTTTTGCTTTCTGCCGCATCCAGCTTTTCCAAGTAAGCCACGTTCTCCTTCAGACTCTTCACAATCTCTGCTGGGCTCTTCTGAGACTTCCCGAAGGGGAAAGGCATGATGAGTAGGTGATGAGTTGAGTCTGGATGTAGAATGTAAAAAAGGCACCGCTTTCACTTTGGATAAAATTGATAACAGACGAATGATGAGCTATTACGTGAATAAACTGCTTTGATATTAAACTACAGCACACAAGGTCTGACTGAGATCATGGCCTATGCCTTCACTGAAAAATGCACACAGTCTAAGTGATGACGTTACACACATTACAGTACACTACGGTAACCAGAGCCATATCAACTATATATACAAAAGTAGGTGGACTCGGCTTAGGGGATTCGGCTATTTCTTCACATTTCTGCCCTGCTAGAGCTGCCCCGGTCAACTGTAAGTGCTGTTATTGTGAAATAGAAACATCTAGGAGCAACAACAGCTCAGCCGCAAAGTGGTAGGCCACATAAGCTCACAGAACGGGACCAGCGAGTGCTGAAGTGAGTAGCACATAAAAATCTCGGTTTTCGGTTGCAACACTCACTACCGAGTTCCAAACTGCCTCTGGAAGCAACGTCAGCACAATAACTGTTCGTCGGAAGCTTCATGGAAAAGGTTTCCATGGCCGAGCAGCCGCACACAAGCCTAAGATCACCATGCGCAATGCCAAGCGTTGGCTGGAAATGGGTAAAGCTCGCCGCCATTGCACTACTTGTTTTTGTAAGAAGTGTTGACATGCTGAATGCACCGAGGTGTCTGTTTAAAACTACTAGCACACAGCTCGGACACCCATGCATACCCCACAAGACATGCCACCAAAGGTCTCTTCACAATCCCCAAGTCAAGAACAGACTACGGGAAGCACAGTACTACATAGAGCCATGGCTACATGGAACTCTATTCCACATCATGTAACTGACGCAAGCAGTAGAATCAGATTTTTTAAAACCTAAAAATACATCTTATGGAACAGCGGGGACTGTGAAGAGACACATAAGACACGCACTCTACAGACACGTACATATGGATTTTGTATTGTAGATATGTGAAAGTAGAGTAGTGGCCTGAGGGAACACACTTAATGTGTTGTGAAAAGTGTTATGAAATGTAATGTAATATTTTAAATTGTATATAACTGCCTTAATGTTGCTGGAGCCCAGGAAGAGTAGCTGCTGCCTTGGCAGTAACTGATGGGGATCCTTAATAAATACAAATACTGGAGCAGTGGAAATTAGTTCTCTGGAGTGATGAATCACACTTCACCATCGGGCAGTCTGACGGACAAATCTGGGTTTGGCGGATGCCAGGAAAACGCTACCTTCCCCAATGCAGTGACAACTGTAAAGTTTGGTGGAGCAGGAATAATGGTCTGGGGCTGTTTTCATGGTTTGGGCTAGGACCCTTATTTCCAGTGAAGGGAAATCTTCACGCTACAGCATACATTCTAGACGATTCGGTGCTTCCAACTTTGTGGCAACAGTTTGGGAAGGCCCTTTCAAATCAAATGTTATTTGTCACATGTGCCGAATTCAACAGGTGTAGACCTTACAGTGAAATGCTTACTTACAAGCCCTTAACCAACAATGCAGTTACGAAAAATAAGAGGTATGAAGAAAAAAGAAAAGAAAAAAAGCAACATTAAAATAACAATAAGGAGGCTATTGTGGGTACCGGTACCGAGTCAATGTGCGGGGGTACAGGTTAGTTGAGGTAATATGTACATGTAGGTACAGGTAAAGTGACTATGCACAGATAATAAACAGCTAGTAGCAGCAGCGTCAATGTAGATAGTCCGGGTAGCCATGTGATTAGCTGTTCAGCAGTCTTATGGCTTGGTGGTAGAAGCTGTTCAGACACCTACCGGACCTAGACTTGGCGCTCCGGTACCGCTTGCCATGCGGTAGCAGAGAGAACAGTCTAGGACTTGGGTGGCTGGAGTCTTTGGAACTTTTTGAGGATCTGAGGACCATTGCCAAATCTTTTCAGTGTCCTGAGGGGGAAAAGGCATTGTCATGCCTTCGTCACAACTGTCTTGGCGTGTTTGGACAATGATAGTTTGTTGGGGATGTGGACACCAAGGAACTTGAAGCTCTCAACCTGCTCTACTACAGCCCCGTCGATGAGAATTGGGGTGTGCTCGGTCCTCCTTTTCCTGTAGTCCACGATCCTCTCCTTTTTCTTGATCACGCTGAGGGAGAGGTTGTTGACCTGGCACCACACTTCCAGGTCTCTGACCTCCTCCCTATAGGCTGTCTCATCGTTGCCGGTGATCAGGCCTACCACCGTTGTGTCGTCGGAAAACTTAATGATGGTGTTGGAGTCGTGCTTGGCCCCGCAGTCATGGGTGAACAGGGAGTACAGGAGGGGGACTAAGCATCAGCATGGCAGATGTGTTCTTGCCTACCCTTACCACCTGGGGGCGGCCCGTCAGCATGTCCAGGATCCAGTTGCAGAGGGAGGTGTTTAGCCCCAGGGTCCTTAGCTTAGTGATGAGCTTTGAGGGCACTATGGTGTTGAACGCTGAACAGTAGTCAATGAACAGCATTCTCACGTAGGTGTTCCTTTTGTCCAGGTGGGAAAGGGCAGTGTTGAGTGCAATAGAGATTGCGTTATTTGTGGATCTGCTGGGCGGTATGCAAATTGAGTGGGTCTAGGATTTCTCAGATGATGGTGTTGATGTGAGCCATGACCAGCCTTTCAAAACACTTCATGGCTACAGACGTGAGTGCTATGGGTCAGTAGTCATTTAGGCAGGTTACGTTGGTGTTCTTGGGGACAGGGACTATGTGGTCTGCTTGAAACATGTAGGTATTACAGACTTGGCCAGGGACAGGTTGAAAATGTCAGTGAAGACACTTGCCAGTTGGGCTTCCCTTTGTAGTCTGTAATAGTTTGCAAGCCCTGCCACATCCGACGAGCCTCGGAGCCAGTGTAGTAGGATTCAATATTATTCCTGTATTTACGCTTCGCCTGTTTGATGGTTCGTCTGAGGGCATAGCGGGATTTCTTATAAGCGTCCGGGTTAGAGTCCCGCTCCTTAAAAGCGGAAGCTCTAGCCTTTAGCTCAGTGCGGATGTTGCCTGTAATCCATGGCTTCTGGTTGAGGTATGTACGTACGGTCACTGTGGGGACAACGTCATCGATGCACTTATTGATGAAGCCGGTGACTGATGTGGTATACTCCTCAATGCCATCGGATGAGTCCCGGAACATATTTCAGTCTGTGCTAGCAAAACAGTCCTGTAGCTTAGCATCTGCGTCATCCGACCACTTCCGTATTGAGCAAGTCACTGGTACTTCCTGCTTTAGTTTTTGCTTGTAAGCAGGAATCAGCAGGATAGAATTATGGTCAGATTTGCCAAATGGAGGGCGAGGGAGAGCTTTGTTCTTGTCTATGTGTGGAGTAAAGGTGGTCTAGTTTTTTTTCCCTCTTGTTGCACATGCTGGTTTCCCTGCATTAAAGTCCCCGGACACTAGGAGCACCGCCTCTGGATGAGTATTTTCTTGTTTGCTTATGGCTTTATACAGCTCGTTGAGTGCGGTCTTAGTTCCAGCATTGGTTTGTGGTGGTAAATAGACAGCTACGAAAAGTATAGATGAAAACTCTTGGTAAATAGTGTGGTCTACCCCTTGTCTTACCGGAGGCAGCTGTTTTGTCTTGCTGATGCTAGGAAAAACCAGCCAACTGTATATTAGCCATGCCGTCGTTCAGCCACGACTCGATGAAACATTAGATACTACAGTTAATGTCCCATTGTTAGGATAGTCTTGAACGAAGCTCATCGAGTTTATTATCCAATGATTGCATGTTGGCCAATAGGCCGGATGGTAGAGGCGGGGTTACCCACTCGCAGATGAATTCTCACAAGGCACCCGGACCTGCGTCCCCTGTATCTGCGTCTTCTCTTCACACGAATGACGGGGATTTGGGCCTTGTTGGCTATCTGGAGTAAATCCTTCGCGTCCAACTCGACTTAGTCCAGTTCGAGGTGAGTAATCGCTGTTCTGATATCCAGAAGCTCTTTTCGGTCATAAGAGACGGTGGCAGAAACATTATGTACAAAATAAGTTACAAATAATGCACAAAAAAAACAAAATAGCACAATTGGTTAGGAGCCCGTAAAACAGCTGCCATCTCCTCCGCCGCTATTATTTAATCACTTTCCTGTTTCAGCATGACAATGCCCCCGTGCACAAAGCGAGGTCCATACAGAAAATAGTTTGTCGAGATCGGTGTGGAAGAACATGACTGGCCTGCAAAGAGCCCTGACCTCAACCCCATCTAACACCTTTAGGATGAATTGGAACACCGACTGCGAGCCAGGCTTATCGCCCAACATCAGTGCCAGACCTCACTGGCTCAATGGAAGCAAGTCCCCGCAGCAATGTTCCAGCATCTAGTGGAAAGCCTTCCCAGAAGAGTGGAGGCTGTTATAGCAGCACTTTGGAATGATATGATATGTTCGACAAGCAGGTGTCCACATACTTTTCCTCATGTAGTGTATTAATATATGGCTCTGATGGTAACTAACTAATCATGTCCTGACAATAGCATATTTGCTCATCACCATAACTAGCCTAAGCTGTAGGCTACATTGCCAGCTACATAACTCGTGGTCAAATAATAGAAAACAGAATGATCAGATCATAGCAACTGGATCAAATCGAATGCAAGTAGCTACATAGTTAGAATTACATGTTAGGAAGTTAGCTAGGTGTCTATCTGTATTGGGCCATCCACACCCATAGCCAAATGGTAAACTATTATGAGTTATTGGTGATTTTCCTAAGTAATATCCGGTGTCACTCAATAAACGTGCTGATTAAATCCCTATTATTTTCTGCTACCTTTCAATTAGACCGTGGCAATGAGTTTGTTGAGGATTAGTTAGAGCTAATGATTGATTAGCTAGCTACTTTTATTTTGGTTCGCTAGATAGCTTAGTTTGTTGACATTGTGCATTAACTTATAGGACACCGACAGCTTGTTGGCTAGCTAGCCAAATGTTCATCTTGGCTCGCTAACTTGGCTAGATAGCTACATTAATCTGAATCAAATTGTGATAACACACTTGGTCGATGAAACCACGACAACACAGTCAAATACAATTTCCAGAAAGTTGCTAGCTAGCTCAGTAGCAAGCTAACAGTACAGTTATCAGTTAAAAACAACGAGCTATTAGCAAACTCGCAGCTGGCTAGTTTAGCACGTTAGCTTTTTTAACACTCACCAAGCTCAGAAGGTGACTGCGAAATGTTTTGAAAATATCCTGTGGGAAGTGTAAGACTTATACTAAACCTATACACCACACCTATTAACGACCTTCATCACTATCGTGCAAAATTATTTTCTCGTGACCTAAAAAGTATTTCTGCTGGCTAACTGTTGTCAGACAACTTCATTTCCCCTAACTCCTCGTTCTGGGGAAAACGGGCGGGTATGTTATGTTTGAGATGTTCGATTGACATAACATTTAAACCAATCGAATGTAAACGATGGAAAGACACGGCCCTAATCCCCGCCACGGAACCAAAAAATTGCAACAACATTGCATTGATTCAGTATGATTAAATCTATCCAAAAATATAATTTCTTCAGATTACAGTAACAAATGTAGCTATTTGAGGATACATTTTAGCAAGCTATGTGTACCGGTTTCAATCAATTTGGAACCTTATTTGAAATGCTCATCAAAATAATACATCAAACACTTGTCCTTTACACACCTCAAAATAAAGTGTATTTCCAGCTATTATAGGCCTACATATTGACAAAACATTATTTACAGGTATTGACATTCTCAGATGCACAAGCCAGGTTGACCAGTTGTACATGTAGGCCCTATGCTGTTTGACATAACTGTCATATTCTTACAAATACATATTGGGGGTTGCATGTTTTATGTCTCTGACAGTGATTCCTTTAGCCTACCACGTTTGATTAGTGCTGTATAATCATACAGTATTTCCTCATCATAATTGATTGAGGTTATCATGGGTTTAAATGATAATTGTAAAATACTTTAGGATTAAACTTTTTTTTGCACATTAGGCAAATGGCCATAATGAAGAATGAATAGCCATAGTCCTGACATGATCCAAAATATTTCTGAAATCAAATACTTCCATATTATGACACCTTTTCTTCATACTAATAGACTAGGCCTATCTGTAGAACCGATGGTGTTGATAAAAAAAAAAAAAAAGTTTTTCATAGTCATTTAGCAGACGCTCTTATCCAGAGCGATTTACAGTTAGTGAGTGCATACATTTTTCATACTGAATACAGAATCTGATGCGAGATATGATAAGTATTTGTTGTAGGCCTAATAGAGAGCATAATATTATTTGTTCGATGGCATCAGTGCGTTGTACATTATTTGTACCAATATGTGCGTGCATGGCGTGTAAGTGTTTATTTTACTATTTTTTTGCAGTGTGCAACGTCACTCGAATGCTACACGGTGGTGAAACCTTCAGTCAGTGGGTGAAACCATAGATATAGATAGAGGACTCATCATGGATATAATTATTTTAGCATGGACGTTGCCATTGGACGTTGCCATCATCCACCATTTTAAAGTACTCAGCTGGATAGGGTTCTTTTGGGTTGAAGCCTCAATGGCTTTGCCCATGCTGTCACAGACGTAATAATTGCACAGATATAAAGATGAGTCCTCTATCAATTTTTATGGGTGAAATGGAACACAAGCGAACGCTGGTTAAAAAAAGAAGGGAAAAACCCACACACCCACTTACATCCAGCACAGTAACTTGACAAAATCCCACTGAGACGGGTAAGATCTAAATATCTGTCGGCACTGTACTAAAGGAATGATCGGTATCTTTATCAGGCTATTGTTAGGTTTTAGGCGGAAGGGAATTGCTGGTGGACAAGCTCGCTAAAGTCCTTCCGTTTTCACTGCAGAAAGTGAATGCATCAAGTATGGCACTCTTTGCTTACAAAGCGGGCAAAACCTACTATGCGCCTCATCACCCTAAACATAAATTAAATAGAATAAAGTATGTTTAAAAGGTTAGTTAAAATCACAGATTAAATGACTGTTTATTTTACTGGTATGGACCTTTCTGTCGTACGATGAGGGCCTAAATGTATTTGTCTTATGGTGAGTTGCCTGCCCTAGTGTTTTGATAGTTTCAAAACTTACTGAAATAAATAACGTTAGTATTTTGATAAGATTGTGAACGCGCGATGACATTTCTCACTTTTCAGTTTATGGAATGTTTTCATTTTCTGTTCAAATACTGATATCTCTTACCTTAATGAATTCTATAATTATTGTAATGATTTATATAAATTATTTTGGTTTAGTACAATATAGCTGTTCCCTGGGTAAATGTCAGATTGTGTCCACTTCTAGATCATACAATTGTAATCTATTGTCATTCAACAATTTACTTTGAGGTTTCTTTCCTTCTAACACACACACACCAACAATGGAAATGTTACTAATCCAAAAAACACAAAAATTGTTTCACAGCCCCACCCCCACTTTATTAGTCTCCAAGTCTCTACCACATTCACATTTCAGTGATGATTACGCAACATGTCAGCAATGCATCCACAAAACATAGTACTCCACCAACAGCAACCAACAAGAGTATAGTTTCATATGTAGGCCTATATTTTAGAAACTTGGAGAGCCTTAAAACAGTTTTTAATACCTTCAGATATCATTAAATAGATCATTCACTGACAGCGATACAGCTGCCCTACTGCAATACTGGTCTTGACTAGTGTCGTCTATAGTATCTATTGGGTTTTACACGAACAAGGTCAACTTGATGCTGCTATCAAGTGAATACCTTTCACTCTTTCTGTCCCTCTCACAAACAGAAGCGCTCACTGACAGTCACAGAGACAAGTAAGGAGAAAAGAGTTTGTGAGAGAGACCGACCATGTCGGCACAGAGGAAGGGAGTGGAAGCAAAGCTGCAAAAATGTGCCTTCTGCAGGACCAACCAGGACAAGGAGTGTGGACAGCTGTTAGTGTCGGACAACCAGAAGGTGGCAGCCCACCATAAGTGCATGGTGAGAAGAACCACACAGTCGGTGGTATAGCACCAACAACTGTATGCATTGGCCATCTCCAGGATGCTGACCTTCTAGACAGAGTTGCAAAGAAAAAGCCATATCTCAGACTGCCCATCTTAATCTTTTCTTTTTATTGGCCAGTCTTAGATATGGCTTTTTCTTTGCAACTCTGCCTAGAAGGTCAGCATCCTGGAGTCGCCTCTTCACTGTTGACATTGAGACTGGTGTTTTGCGGGTACTATTTAATTAAGCTGCCAGTTGAGGACCTGTGAGGCGTCTGTTTCTCAAACTAGACACTCTAATGTATTTGTCCTCTTGCTCAGTTGTGCACCGGGGCTTCCCACTCTTTCTATTCTGGTTAGAGCCAGTTTGAGCTGTTCTGTGAAGGGAGTAGTACACAGCGTTGTACGAGATCTTCAGTTTCTAGGCAATTTCTCGCATGGAATAGCCTTCATTTCTCCGAACAAGAATAGACTGACGAGTTTCAGAAGAAAGTTATTTGTTTCTGGCCATTTTGAACCTGTAATCGAACCCACAATTGCTGATGCTCCAGATACTCAACTAGTCTCAAGAAGGCAAGTTTTATTGCTTATTTAATCAGCACAAAATTTTTCAGTTGTGCTAACATAATTCCAAAAGGGTTTTCTAATGATCAATTAGCCTTTTAAAATGATAAACTTGGATTAGCAAACACAACGTGCCATTGGAACACAGGACTGATGGTTGCTAATAATGGGCCTCTGTGCGCCTATGTAGATATTCCATTAAAAATCAGCCGTTTCCAGCTACAATAGCCATTTACAACATTAACAATGTCTACACTGTATTTCTGATCAATTTGATGTTATTTTAATGGACATAGAAATGTCCTTGTTTTTGAAAGAAAAGCCATTTTTAAGTGACCCAAACTTTTGAACGGTAGTGTATATTTAAGTGTCACTCCACAATATGACAATACAAAATACAGATTTAAAACCCATTTTGTGGGCCACTCAATATTAGGAAGGTGTTCCTAATGTTTGGTATGCTCAATATATGTTCCCATATTGTAGCTTATTATTACGATTTAGCACTTTGAGTGTCAGGAGCATGGTTATTGCTTGTGTTGTCCATGTATTCTGTTGAATGATTGTCATTGCTCTGTGCAGCTTTTCTCCTCCGCCCTGGTTACATCTCACTCAGACAGCGACGAGAACATCGGGGGATTTTCTGTCGAGGACGTGAGAAAGGAGATCAAGAGAGGGAATAAACTTGTGAGTGTCCATGGCAAGATATCTCCACGTGTCCTTACGTTTGGAGTGTGTCCCAAATGGCACCCTATTAGTGCACACTAAGTCTTACAGGGCTCTGGTCAAAAGTAGTGCACCATATAGGGAGTAGTGTGCCATTTGGGACGCATTCCATAGTGAGTTGCCAGGTTCAGCTTGTGAGATGGGTGCTGTAGCAGTTATGTTTCTGAACATGGCAGTTGCTCTCTTTTCCTCCCCTTCAGATGTGTTCGTCCTGCCACCGGCCTGGTGCCACTATTGGCTGTGATGTGAAGACATGCCGGCGGACGTATCACTACTACTGTGCAATATGGGATAAGGCCCAGGTCAAAGAGAATCCCTCACAGGGGATCTACCTGTAAGTGCCCTGTGTAAATAACCGTATTACAACAACATGTAGCTGGAAATTTCTGTTAAAAACAATCCTAATATTTCTGTATTTGTTTGTCTCTGGATGTAGTGTGTATTGTCGCAAACACCGGGATGCCTCTCAGGATGCCAGTGGAGGTATCTAACTTATCTTTTACGTGATATTCAGCACACAAGGGATGGCTTTTCTTTTGACACTTTTAAAGTAGACCACAAGAGGATAACTCAATACTGTTGTTGAAGGTGAATGGCCAGCGTATTGACGTATCCAATTTATATTTTTCAGATGATCAGGAACAGGGAGGTGTGGCCAATGACTCAGACTCCTCTCCTCAGCGGAGTAGGGGCCGTGGGAGATTAGAGAAAGGGCGAATCAAAGCTGGTTTCCATGGCCAATCGGAGGACACCCGCTCAACCTCCTCTCAAGGCGTAGATGATGAGAGCTCCTCGCATGTAAAGACCCCCCCCACACACACACACACTGTAGTTCCTTTGGGCATGCCCATTATTAGGACTACGTGGTGACTATTATCAAGCTCCTGTAAAAAACATTTGCCCTGTACATGGATCCTGAGGTGTGTGTGTCTGTGTGTTTCAGAGAGACAGGTCCCCTCTGAGGGGCTCTGGGGACGGTGGCCTTCGCTGTGGCTTCTGCCACACCGGAGAGGAGGAGAACGAGTTGCGGGGCGTGCTTCATGCAGATAACGGAAAAAAGATCGCTGCACATTACAAGTGCATGGTAAGTCTTATCGCGTATAAGTCTGTACTAAGCCGTAACGATCAATGTTCATCAAATAACTAATTTTGTGCTGAAGATGGTCTTTATACTATTGCTTGTCCAAGCATTACTTTGTGCAAGATGTATGTTTTGGAAAAGCACAATCAGTTATATAGGTCTTGTCTGCTGTACTCATAATTTCCCCTGTCTGTCACCTGACCTTGTTGTCTCTCCTCCTTGGCAGCTGTTCTCATCAGGAACCGTTCAACTCACTACCTCCTCACGGGCTGAATTTGGGAACTTTGACATCAAAACGGTCATCCAGGAAATCAAGAGGGGGAAGAGAATGGTGAGAACCTTGGAGATAGTACAGTAATGTGAAGACAAAAGGGTGGCTAAGTGGGACATGTATCTAGCTCTATCAACTAATTAGATGTTATTTTCAGAGAATGTAAAGAATTTCTACTGAATATGGGAGAAGTTCCTTGAAAGTCACCAATGCCATGTCAGAGACCTGCTCTTGTATTTCCAGTCAGATTGATGTACCTTACTTAGTTGAACGCACTGACAGTATGTCGCTTTGGATAAGAGCATCTGCTAAATGACAAATGTACAAGTATACTGAACAAAAATATAAAAGCAACATGCAACAATTTCAACGATTTTACTGAGTTACAGTTCATATTAGGAAATCAGTCAATCTAAATAAATGAGTTAGGCCCTAATCTATGGATTTCACATGAATGGGAATACAGATATGCATCTGTTGGTCACAGATACCTTAAAATAAATGGGCCTCACAATGGGCCTCAGGAACTCGTCACTGTATTTCTGTGCATTCAAATTGCCATCGATAAAATGCAATTGTGTTCTCGTTGTCCTTAGCTTATGCCTTCCCATACCATAACCCCACCGTCATCATGGGGCACTCTGTTCACAAATTTAACATCAGCAATCCGCTCGCCCATTGACGCCATACACATGGTCTGCGGTTGTGAGGCCGGTTGGACATACTGCCAAATTCTCTAAAAGGACGTATTACCACCACACCGGCTCATTACATTCTCTGGCAACAGCTCTGGTGGACAATCCTGCAGCCATCATGCCAATTGCCGGCTCCCTCAAAACTAGAGACATTTGTGGCATTGTGTTGTGTGACAAAACTGCACATTTTAGAGTGGCTTTCTATTGTCCCCAGCACAAGTTGCATCTGTGTAATGATCATGATGTTTAATCAGCTTCTTGATATGCCACACCTGTCAGGTGGATGGATTATCTTGGAAAGGTAAAAATGCTCACTAGCAGGGATGTAAACAAATTTGTGCAAAGAATTTGAGAGAAATACGTTTTTTGTGTGTGTGGAAAATTTCTGAGATCTTTTATTTCAGCTCATGAAACATGGAACCAACACTTTACATGTTGCGGTTATATTTTTGTTCAGTGTATATTTTATGGTCTCTTTCAGAAATGTACACTGTGTGCCCAGTTGGGAGCCACCATTGGCTGTGAGATCAAAGCCTGTGTGAAGACTTACCATTATCACTGCGGCCTGCAGGACAAGGCCAGAGAACATGGCTCGTGGCATCTACAAGTGAGATCCCCTCTGCTTTGTCATTTTCAGGTGTCAAGTCAACACATGGATCGTTTTTTTTTTCTGGTTCATAAAAGAAACACTTAGTTTACTGTTGGTATTTAATTACATTGCAACAACTACTTAAAGTATAATTTCTTTGCTCCTGAAAGAACTCAATTATCACAATCAATATTTCTTTCAGTTAGCAAACACTGTAGGCCTACACATAAAATAGTCACTCAGGGAGCAGATCCCTAGGTAACACTATTTGGATAGTCCAGCTGTAGATGCTCTACAGACTATCAGTAACATTTCAACTAACTATCTACTAACCGTAGCGCTAATCCTAACCTTACACCTTATCCTCACCCTAAACTTACCCTTATTCTAAACCTAACCATAACCTTAGCAAGCAGTTGTTTATTATTAGCATCTACTGATGGAAAATCCGGACTATCCAAATAAGTGTGACCGATCCCTAATATGTTGTCATTGCATCACTCCAAAGTTATGTGAGAAAAGTAGCTTTGCAACCTGGGAACTGCACCCCCTTGAGCTTCAAATGTGGTTTGCAACACAATTACATGTACATTTTAGTCATTTAGCAGACGCTCTTATCCAGAGCGACTTACAGGAGCAATTAGGGTTAAGTGCCTTGCTCAAGGGCACATTGACAGATTTTTCACCTAGTCGGCTTGGGGATTAGAACCAGCGACCTTTCGGTTACTGGCACAACACTCTTAACCACTAAACTACCTGCTGCCCCTTCCTTGAAGGCTGAGAAAGAATGTAAACAGATAATACAAGTGGCAGTTCAACAATCCTTTACCTGCTGTACAAGCCCTATCTGTAATGATATGTATCTAGGGCTGTTGCGGTGACCGTATTACCACCACACCGGCGGTCACGAGTCATGAAGACAGTTTAGTTTAGTCACGGTAATTAGACTTCTCCAAGCTCTGATGCTGCTGATGGTCATTAGTAGCCTACCAAACTTGCTAACTGCCTGGTACTCAGCACTCTATTGTCCCTCTAATCACTCTGACATCAATGCAAATGTATTCGAAAATCTTAACAAACACTTAACGAGAGCCCATGATTTCATGTTGCGCAACATTTCCATAGGCTATGCAATTGCGTGAGAAAACAGAGTGATGACCTCTACTAAAAATAGGAGGATCAGCCTTCTATAGGCTAGGCCTACTATATTTATTTCTCAACTTTCCTAATATTAAGCACATTGCTGATATTTACAACAGGAGTATAGCCTACCTGGCTGACATGAAAATAAACTAGGGGGAAAAGCGTCCTCCATTCGCTATTTAAGTGCATAGATGACATGTATTTTTCCCCCATTGACCCTGTTTCAATACAGGTGCATGATAATGGTCCATTCTAAATCAAAACAAATTTCACACATATATTATTTAGTATATGTAAAGACAATATTAAATCAAGCATTGTCTGATGGGTGACAATATTAGCCTATCACTTGTGAATTATATATGATCACTTGTGAATGATGCCCAGCATAAGAAACAAAGCCTTTTTTATGCGCCTTTATTTAATCATAGTCACACACCTCATGTAGCCTAGCACATAGGCCTACATGTTTTAATAAGGTTTGTATGACAACTCAAGTGACCAAACAACTACTTAAAATTAAGCACATTATTTTGCTTTACAAGGGGTGTAGGGCCTAACTGGCATACATAAGCAGCGCGTGAGTTTCAAGTTTGGGGAAGATCATTTTCACCATAAAAATGCACCTTTGTAATAAAAGCATTACATGCATAATTGCATTTTACTCAAAGCCAGTGGCATGTCGTTAGTAAAGATTGAAAAAAGTAAGGGGCCTAGATAGCTGCCCTGGAGAATTCCTGATTTGAACTGGATTTTGTTGGAGAGGCTTCCATTAAAGAACACCCTCTGTGTTCTGTTAGACAGGTAGCTCTTTATCCACAATATGGCAGGGGGTGTAAAGCCATAACACATAAGTTTTTCCAGCAACAGACTATGATCGATAATGTCAAAAGCCTCACTGAAGTCTAACAAAACAGCCCCCACAATCTTTTTGTCATCAATTTCTCTCAGCCAATCATCAGTCATTTGTGTAAGTGCTTGTTGAATGTCCTTCCCTATAAGCGTGCTGGAAGTCTGTTGTCAATTTCTTTACTGTAAAATAGCATTGTATCTGGTCAAACACAATTTTTTCCAAAAGTTTACTAAGGGTTGGTAACAGGCTGATTGGTCAGCTATTTGAGCCAGTTAAGGGGGCTTTACTATTCTTAGGTAGGGGAATAACTTTTGCTTCCCTCCAGGCCTGAGGCACACACTTTCTACTAGGCTTAAATTGAAGATCTGGCAAATAGGAGTGGCAATATTGTCCGCTATTATCTTCAGTAATTTTCCATCCAAGTTGTGCGCATTGCTGCGCTTATAATGTGAAGAAATAGCCTAATAGTTTATCAACATTTTAAGCTAAACGTTCTGATCTGTTGCGTCAGCCACATTGCATTGATGCTAGTGGTTGTATTAATTTGGGATCTATCGCATCCCACAACTGTCCCAGACTGTTTGGAATATTAATTTCTAGCACAGAATAGAATAGGTTGACCTTTGTACTATGGGGGATAGTAGATTGACATAGGCTAGTGCTTTTGCTGTTTGTTAGGCCTATTCATCTTGTTGGCTGACGAAAAGTAAATGTGGACAATTCTTCCATTATCTTCAATATGCACCTCGGAATTGGATAAGGACACGCTCAGTTGTGTCTGTCTTCACTTGTAGCCTGTGAGAAAGACCTGATCACGTGATGGAGTTCGCAGCACTCAGGGAGGCGCGCACAACGGGCACTTTTGTAGGGAGCATTATGGCCACACAAAGCGGATGCCGGCGTCAAATTCTAGGCATTATCAAGTGCTTGTCAAATTGTGAATGAGTGACTGATGTAGTGTGTACAGCCTGCACAAAAAACAAAGCAGAGCTCTTGCCTTTGAAGCAACTTTTTTCAAATTATCATTAGTCGCATCATGCAACCTTACAATGTATTAAAAATCAAAACATATAGCCCAACATTTGTAGAACAACTAAAGTTATATTAATAACTCTAAATTAAGCATATAGGAATACCTTTTTCTTTGTTAACCGCTCAACACAGAATAGCCGCATGTGCGCACTCCCTCAAATCGTTCGGAGAAAATATTATTTATATTTTATTCAGCTTTGTTCAATTGTATTCTTCATACTATAAAAGAATGCAACGGAATTCTAAGCAAATCTTGTCTGCTAAATGAACTAGTGCAGCCCACAGCCATTTGGCATAGCCAAATCAGGACCTAACATAAGGACAACTCAGAGTATGCTATTCTGTTCTTCTGAAATAGACTACATTTTCTTCATATCATGCTTCTTTAGACCTGTCTAAAATAAATAATGGATTTATTGTGAAGGTGTAGGCTATATTACATGGATTTATTAGACATTTTAAAATGTAGATGTTCCAAAGGTCTGCATCAGTGGCTTGTGGCTGTGTGTGGAAGCCAGGAGATGCTAAATGTGTTTATGTTAATTAACAGTAAATTACCGTGAGACCAACAGTTATTTGCTTGACAATCACCGGCTGACGAAATTTCATGACCGCCACAGCCCTATATGTAACTGTCGGAAAGATATGTAATAAGTTGACATTACACTATTCTGTCTCTGCTCCAGGCTGTACTGTAAGAATCACAGTGGGAATGAGGAGCGGGATGAGGAGGACGAGGAGAGGGAGAGTTGCAGTAGAGAGAGGGCGGCCATTGACCATAGGGGAACTCTGCCTCCGCCACAAGTCAATGGCAACTAGGTATGGCACTGTCACACCTGCCTGGATCAAATGGTGATAAAGAAAAGTACCAGTAGACCAGCTGCTATGATGGTAGACAAATTAAGTATTTGGTATTCGGATGATGTCAGTGTTCTTCCTTCACAGGTGATGGTTAAGGATTGCAAAAGGATAAGAAGAGAGGGGATATCCAAGATGGAGCAAAGCTATTTTTCTATTGAGTTCTACTCCCTAAGTAAGGGGCTATTGCAAGCCCCTTCATTCACCCTTTCAGTTTCAAACAACGGACACACACAGCCCTGCAGGTCATCAGCCAGATGTGAACATGTCAGCCCTTGGCTTCTTCACAAACCACTTTCATATTGTCAGGTTTAATGGATGAGAAATGGCACAGACTGACTGGAGTACTCTGCTGAGAGCAAAACACTGCTGCAGTGCTGGGTGAAAGACAAAGCATTGGAACCGTGGTCAGTGCTACTCAGTTGTGGTCTCCCTCTAATGCATGTTGTATTGCTCTTAAAGAAGACATGACTGGACAAAGTTATCGACATTCACTGTATCTGGCTTCCCATGTGCCCCTAAGTGTTCTAGTCCTATACAAACAATATTATTCTTCCTCTAGCTCTTCTTCAGGACTCTCTTCAAGGATGCTGCCTTCTACTCATTTAAATGTTTCTCTTTCAAATCATGGAATTTGATTTACTTTGTTGTTGCTGTAATCTTCTGTCTGAAGAAATTCCTTTTTACTTTTCTCTTATTTTTCTTTGAAATGTGTCTTATTTTACTATTGTATCATGAATAATATTGAATGTCCTTGGCTTTATTTATAGTCAGGATTAAAGTAAATTTGCTAGCATGCAGCACTTGGATTGTTTATCTTATCACAATTTTTTAAATATTTCTATTGCTGCAACATGCCCATGCAGACCTCTTAGGAAAAAATATTGACTTAAGTTTTTGTACTATTCTCATTTTCTCAGCCTCCACAGTTGTATTAGTAAAGGGTCACAATTATATACTGAACAAAAATATAAACGCAACATGCAACAATTTCAGATTAAGATTTTACTGAGTTACAGTTCATATAAGGAAATAATTCAATTGAAATAAAGTAATTAGGCCCTAAACAATGAATTTCACATGACTGGGAATACAGATATGCATTTGTTGATCACAGATACCTTAAAAAAATTAATAAATTGGGGTGTGGATAAGAAAACCAGTCAGTATCTGGTGTGACCACATCTCCTTCGCATAGAGTTGATCAGGCTGTTGATTGTGGCCTGTCGTACACGTCAATCCAGAGCAACCCAAAAATGTGTGACATGTCTGGTGAATATGTAGTCCATGGAAGAATTGGGACATTTTCAGCTTCCAGGAATTGTGTACAGATCCTTGCAACATGGGGCAGTGCATTATCATACTGAAATATGAGGTGATGGCGGCAGATGAATGGCACGACAATGGGCCTCAGGATTTCGTCACGGTATCTCTGTGCATTCAAATTGCCATCGATAAAATGCAATTGTGTTCATTGTCCTTGCTTATTCCTGTGCATACCATGACCCCACCGCCACTATGGGGCACTCTGTTCACAACATTGACATCAGCAAACCGCTCACCCATACGACGCCATACACGTGGTCTGCATTTTATTGTCCCCAGCACAAGGTGCACCTGTGTAATGATCATGCTGTTTAATCAGCTTCTTGATATGCTACACCTGTCAGGTGGATGGATTATCTTGGCAAAGGAGAAATGCTCACTAACAGGGATGTATACAAATGTGTGCACAACATTTTAGAGAAATCAGCTTTTTGTGCATATGGAAAATGTCTGTGATCTTTTATTTCAGCACATGAAACATGGGACCAACACTTTACATGTTGCATTTATGTTTTTGTTCAGTGTACAATAGACATTTTGTATAACACGCTTATTATACTGGTGAATTATTATTTGTTTGCCCAAAATAAGAAACTAAGAAAAAACATTTGGATGTTGTCGATGAGGTGGCAGTATTCATTCTTCCTTTTATGATCTTCCAACTATGACTTTTTACTGTTAAACTTGTGCCAGATCAATGTGAGATCCCTCTCAGATAGTGGTTGTTGATGGAAGCTTTGGGGTTGGAGGAGTTTTGTTATGGCCAGATGAATGATAGCCAGAGGGTGAGGAATGTCACAGATACCTGGATGTTGACCAGAGCAAGAAGAATGCCCTCAGGGAGTGGGGCCTCCTTCAATACTACCCCAGTCAACAACAAATCCTAGGGGCCAACCGGCTAAAGGGTTGTGTCTATGTTTAGTTCAAACCTAATCCCTGTCAAGGGTAGAAGTAACAAGGCTAGAAGTACGTTTATTATTGGCAATAAAAATGGACTACAGTCAGTTGCATATGTCTCTAAATCTCTTAGTTTGAGAAAAGCTAAGGGATTGGTTAAGAGATGGATGAGTTATTGATAAATCAGGAAATCAGATTTTACGTGTTCATTTAAATCCTTTGTAAATCCACTTCACAATGGCCTATCAACTTGAAACTTTTTAGGGTCATCAAAGACATTACCATGATGAACCATGTTAAAGGTAGACTCAACAATATGACGCCTGTGCACAAAGTAAACAGCATAGTGGGTCAATTTGCGCAAAAACTAAGAGCGTTGGAAGCGCAAGGCTCAACTCCCCCACTATTTTGGTCCCGTACCTACCATCCTCCAACGGATTGAAGTTAACTCATGCACATGCGCAGATACTGTGGGAGCAAAGTCTTACATCTCGATCATCGCAATATCTGCAGTGCTGCTCGTGGCAACGTCATTTCGGTTAGTCTGCCTTTAAGTTTGGCATTGATATCTTAAAAATATGGAAACTATTAACAATTAACTTTTTTAACTATGTAACACTAATGCTTAAAATAATCATAAAAAATATTCTCATGGACTAAAAGTCAGATTCACTCAAAATTTGGTCTTTGGACTGAAAGAGTTTGAAAAAATTACATTGATGCATTCTAAGATGGCACATACAGTGGGGAGAACAAGTATTTGATACACTGCCGATTTTGCAGGTTTTCCTACTTACAAAGCATGTAGAGGTCTGTAATTTTTTATCATAGGTACACTTCAACTGTGAGAGACGGAATCTAAAACAAAAATCCAGAAAATCACATTGTATGATTTTTAAGTAATTAATTTGCATTTTATTGCATGACATAAGTATTTGATCATCTACCAACCAGTAAGAATTCCGGCTCTCACAGACCTGTTAGTTTTTCTTTAAGAAGCCCTCCTGTTCTCCACTCATTACCTGTATTAACTGCACCTGTTTGAACTCTTTATCTGTATAAAAGACACCTGTCCACACACTCAATCAAACAGACTCCAACCTCTCCACAATGGCCAAGACCAGAGAGCTGTGTAAGGACATCAGGGATAAAATTGTAGACCTGCACAAGGCTGCGTTGGGCTACAGGACAATAGGCAAGCAGCTTGGTGAGAAGGCAACAACTGTTGGCGCAATTATTAGAAAATGGAAGAAGTTCAAGATGATGGTCAATCACCCTCGGTCTGGGGCTCCATGCAAGATCTCACCTCGTGGGGCATCAATGATCATGAGGAAGGTGAGGGATCATCCCAGAACTACACGGCAGGACCTGGTCAATGACCTGAAGAGAGCTGGGACCACAGTCTCAAAGAAAACCATTAGTAACACACTACGCCGTCATGGATTAAAATCCTGCAGCGCACGCAAGGTCCCCCTGCTCAAGCCAGCGCATGTCCAGGCCCGTCTGAAGTTTGCCAATGACCATCTGGATGATCCAGAGGAGGAATGGGAGAAGGTCATGTGGTCTGATGAGACAACAATGGAGCTTTTTGGTCTAAACTCCACTCGCCGTGTTTGGAGGAAGAAGAAGGATGAGTACAACCCCAAGAACACCATCCCAACCGTGAAGCATGGAGGTGGAAACATCATTCTTTGGGGATGCTTTTCTGCAAAGGGGACAGGACGACTGCACCGTATTGAGGGAAGGATGGATTGGGCCATGTATCGCGAGATCTTGGCCAACAACCTCCTTCCCTCAGTAAGAGCATTGAAGATGGGTCGTGGCTGGGTCTTCCAGCATGACAACGACCCGAAACACACAGCCAGGGCAACTAAGGAGTGGCTCCGTAAGAAGCATCTCAGGGTCCTGGAGTGGCCTAGCCAGTCTCCAGACCTGAACCCAATAGAAAATCTTTGGAGGGAGCTGAAAGTCCGTATTGCCCAGCGACAGCCCCGAAACCTGAAGGATCTGGAGAAGGTCTGTCTGGAGGAGTGGGCCAAAATCCCTGCTGCAGTGTGTGCAAACCTGGTCAAGACCTACAGGAAACGTATGATCTCTGTAATTGCAAACAAAGGTTTCTGTACCAAATATTAAGTTCTGCTTTTCTGATGTATCAAATACTTATGTCATGCAATAAAATGCAAATTAATTACTTAAAAATCATACAATGTGATTTTCTGGATTTTTGTTTTAGATTCCGTCTCTCACAGTTGAAGTGTACCTACAGTGGGGAAAAAAAGTATTTAGTCAGCCACCAATTGTGCAAGTTCTCCCACTTAAAAATATGAGAGGCCTGTAATTTTCATCATAGGTACACGTCAACTATGACAGACAAATTGAGAAGAAAAAAATCCAGAAAATCACATTGTAGGATTTTTAATGAATTTATTTGCAAATTATGGTGGAAATTAAGTATTTGGTCACCTACAAACAAGCAAGATTTCTGGCTCTCACAGATCTGTAACTTCTTCTTTAAGAGGCTCCTCTGTCCTCCACTCGTTACCTGTATTAATGGCACCTGTTTGAACTTGTTATCAGTATAAAAGACACCTGTCCACAACCTCAAACAGTCACACTCCAAACTCCACTATGGCCAAGACCAAAGAGCTGTCAAAGGACACCAGAAACAAAATTGTAGACCTGCACCAGGCTGGGAAGACTGAATCTGCAATAGGTAAGCAGCTTGGTTTGAAGAAATCAACTGTGGGAGCAATTATTAGGAAATGGAAGACATACAAGACCCCTGATAATCTCCCTCGATCTGGGGCTCCACGCAAGATCTCACCCCGTGGGGTCAAAATGATCACAAGAACGGTGAGCAAAAATCCCAGAACCACACGGGGGGACCTAGTGAATGACCTGCAGAGAGCTGGGACCAAAGTAACAAAGCCTACCATCAGTAACACACTACGCCGCCAGGGACTCAAATCCTGCAGTGCCAGACGTGTCCCCCTGCTTAAGCCAGTACATGTCCAGGCCCGTCTGAAGTTTGCTAGAGTGCATTTGGATGATCCAGAAGAGGATTGGGAGAATGTCATATGGTCAGATGAAACCAAAATATAACTTTTTGGTAAAAACTCAACTCGTCGTGTTTGGAGGACAAAGAATGCTGAATTGCATCCAAAGAACACCATACCTACTGTGAAGCATGGGGGTGGAAACATCATGCTTTGGGGCTGTTTTTCTGCAAAGGAACCAGGACGACTGATCCGTGTAAAGGAAAGAATGAATGGGGCCATGTATCGTGAGATTTTGAGTGAAATCCTCCTTCCATCAGCAAGGGCATTGAAGATGAAACGTGGCTGGGTCTTTCAGCATGACAATGATCCCAAACACACCGCCCGGGC